ATACCTTATAATTAGATCAGAAATTTTAGCTTCTTCAGCATCAACTAACTTATTTACTTGTTTAACAAGTTTTTCTTTGTCACATACCATAAACACAGCCAACATTTCATAAATTGAATTAGCATTAAAGGAAAATATTTCTTTTTGGTATTCAAGACTGAAACAAATTTACATTTAGATAAAATTTAATTTATAATCAACTTTCAAAAACATTAATATATAAAATTATTTAAAGTAGGTAAGTTGGTATTTTTTTTTAAAAAGGGTTTACATAAAAAAGATAATTACAATCAATTGAAAAAACAATTTGACCAATTATTTTAATTATTTTAAATTTTTATATAATGAAATTATGTTCATAATCAAATCATTATCAGATGACAGTTTTAAAAAATGATCTTGTGTTGATATGTCTGTAAATGACAACTAATCTAAATTAGAACTATTGTTAGGACTAGACAAGTGTCTTATTTAGTCAAAGCAGTGATTGTGTTCTATAAGACTGTACTACTATAATATTAATTCAATCACATTATTATTTTTATTATTTTTTTTTTTAATAAAAATAAAATACATAAATAAAAAAACCCAAAACAGTGGGGATGTGGCATAGTTGGATCAAGTATAATGATATATGACAGTGATTAAAATCACCATCATAAAAAACGCTTTGATGTAAATCTGTAGATAGTGTTTAATTTAAAAAAATTGATGGATTATTCCAAAAGCTACATGATCTCCTATTTCCTTATTTATATCCTGATTATAAGTTTTGAAAATTTTCGAAAATTAGCGAAGATTTCCCTCATTTGCGGGAAACAAGGGGTATTTTTCAATTTTTGAGGGTATTGTCTTTGACTAAATACGATTTGTGATCTTTTAACGTATTATTGAAAGAAATCGGTTTGGTGAGAGCTCAGAAAATGTAGTAACACACAAAAAAAAATACATATCATAGTAAAATTAATACCTACTCAACTTCGCATTGAAGCTAAAACACTAAAAAATATAATAAAATATTAGTTTACCTTAATAGTAACATATTCATTTGATCTGAAAAAAGTCTTGTGTTTTTTGAAGTTACTAATTTAGCTTCAGTCTTAAGGGATTCAATGATTTCCATTAAAATTTGAGGATTAACATCATTCTCACCACTGATTGCTATAATAATATAATTGTTTAACTATTACAAAATATTAAACATAAACTTGATTGCAATAAATATGTCTACAAAAAATAAACACCAACATCATTTTGGAAAAATTTTGGCTACCATAGTTTTCAGATATTAGTATTAATCAAAAACCCTAACTGATAACCAAAAATTGCAATAATACAGGAAATTTAAATAGATTAGTAATAATAATTAATTAATTAGTCATGATATAATTAATCTAGTATAACTATCGTACTTGGTATAGAAAAATTAAATTTTTTTAACCGAATAAGCATTTTTTAAAGACTACAATGAAATAAATAAGTAAAATTAAATAAAATCAGTTATGACATATTTTTAAGATTTTTACATGTTATTTACTGTATGTAGTAATTTTGTAAGCTCTTTATTAAAAAATAACATTTATGTTATTATTTTTAATTTCCCGTAAAATTTCCTTTACGTGAGATTTACTTTCATAATTTTAAGTAAAAAAAAAGTTATCAAATAAATCTCTTATTTCTATTAAAATTGTAACATCAAATAAACTTAAGAAGCCCAGAGGCAGGGATAACCATAAAACATTGGACCCAAATTTTACACAGCTCATTTTGATAAGCACAAAAAAATGGGTAGCACAATGGGGCACAACACAGTGTGAACGTAGGATAGTTAAGACAAGTATAGATAATATCTGACAGTGATTAAAATCACTATCATATGAAATTCTTCAATGAAAATCTGTATATAGTGTTTAATTACAAGAAATTGGTGGATAATTACAAAAGCAACATCAACATTTATTTCCTTAATTATATCCTGATTAGTGGTTCTTTGATTTAAAAATATAACATATGAATAAATACTAATTATATTAATTAAATTTAGTATGAAATTGATATTCAATAATTTAATATTGTAATTTATAATGAGAAATTATAAAAATAATAAAGTAGTTGTATATTTCTTTACTTTTAACAAGTATAAAATTTGAAGGGTTTGTTACAATAGTTTATATTCATGATATTCATTGAATCTAAGTGAGATAAAAATGAAATGAGTTGAAATTTTTTTTCTAACTCATAAATAATTAAGAAAAAAATGCAATCCCATTTGGATGTTGAACTTTGTACCTCAAGCGTGAAAGACACAAGTGTTATCACATTACTCCGATGGATATATATGGCAATTAAAGCTAGTTCAAATTTCAAATTTATTTTCCTTCACTTAAAAGAAGCAAAAAAATTTAAATAAATTTCTATACTATGTCAATTATATTTTTATAGTATTTATAAAAATCAGTCTACTTTCCTTGTCGAGTATTTTAAAATAAAATAAAATACAAACCCAAGAATTTTAACACAATTATAGCATATTTTCAAAAATTAAGTTGAAAAAGTTAATTTTTTGTGGAAAAGTTATATTATTTTGAATCCCCCACTGTGGGCAGTAAAAAAAAAATAAGACAGAATATAGATGGGTGTTGTTCAACCCATACTGATGTGTGTATATTCTGCCTGCATTCTATTCTCACTACAAAGATTAATATGGTTGTAATTTGATGAGTACTTATCCTAAAATTGTTATATACCTATCAAAACTTACTGTAAAAATAAAAAATTACTTTCAAAATTAAAAAACAATAAAATAATTTGTTTTCTCTTTATTAGTGATAAATATGCTTTGAACATGTTTATGGAGGTTAAATAATTATTGGATTTATTACATCTTTGTGACTCACTCAGTATATTTATTAAACTGTTAATTAATTGAATTGAACTTATTAATATCTTACATGTTGAATTTGGATGTTTTGTACAAGCTGCATTAATTACAGATTCAATAGTATCGTTGATTGAATTTACATTGATCTCTGTTACTGGAGCTTCTACAGTTGATGAAAACTGAGTATCTTTTGAACAGCCTAAAAAATAAAAATTATCAAAAAAATATTTAAAATTAAAATTTATAAAGCAACAACTTGGCTGAAGCTCGGGTAGTTGAATTCTTTTCTCTTGTAACAATACTTTAACAGAGTTCATTTTTTTCTTTTTAGTAGGAATTAAAGAACTAGCACTATCAGAATCAATAGACTGTCTTCTTTTAGTCTTGCCATTGATAGAAACAGTAGACTGCTGAACTAAATTTGCTGGTTTAATTGGTTCTTTTTCATCTTCAGAACTAACTGATGATCCTTTAGATGTCTCTGAAGTCTATAGTTTTAACAAATTAATAGTTTATATATATTAATTTAAAAAAATAACATTGTTTTTATTTATTAGTCGTGTATGTATATATATATATATATATATGTTAGATTCCATTATATTGAAAGTTCTTTAAAGATAATGAAGAATTTGTATTTTATTTATTTCAAATTATCTTTAATAATTTTATTAATACATCGAAAATAATAACTTCTTTTAAATTTTTGATACTTATTTATATAAATAAGACACATTTATCCATAATAAAATTTTCTCATTTAGTTTAATGTCACACTTGAATAAAAATAAATCAACAAAAAAAACCTACCTTTGTTTCAAGAGGTGAATCTTTATCTGAATTATTTGATGCAGCAAAACTTGGAAGTTTTTCATCACTATCTTCTAATACAGTATTGATAATATTCTATAAAATTTGATTAAATTAAAAATTATGACTGTTAATTAAAATAATTTGTAAAATAGATAACTGTAATTGTATAATTTTTATTAAGTATAAACATATAATCTATATTTCTTAAAAAGAATCATTTCAACAAAAAAAAAAATTCAGTAGAAAAAATATTGTGCTAGAGTTTAAGGTTTTTAAAAGGGTTTAACTCATAATAGACAACTGTTCAAATATCTCCTTCTCAAAAAGTATATTCTTTAAACTCGTAAAAGTCTAACATAAAAAGTAACTTTCTATTTTTAAGTTTATGCTTAATTATAAACATTGTCAGCTCAAATTACTATCATCAAAGTTACAAGAACTTAATTATACACTACAATATCTAATATATATGTAATAAATAAGTAATATAAACATTTTCTTATTAAAGCACTATTAATATGCTTAATTTCTCATAATTTCAAATAGAAGTATCATTAATTAGTTACTTTATTAGTTAATAAACTATGGTTTCAATATACCTAAATTAAAAACAAACTAATAAAATATTTACCTTACGACGATGACTAGATTTTAAATCTTCAGAATCTTCTGAAATATAAACTTTTTTAAATTCCAAAGAACCTGTATTTACATAATAACCACCATGAGCTGTTTCAACTTCTTCAGGCATAACTTCATCAAACTAAAAAATAAATTACCCATAAATATCTATATTTAAAGTCAATGTAGACATATATTAATATGGAAATTATAGAGACATAAAGATTATGAGTTATAATATGAAGATTTGGGTAAAAATAAAAGTGACAAAGAATAAAAAATAAGACATCAATAATTAAAAATCAGTTAGGCTTTTTGTCTGGAAAGTCAATGCTGAAGTTGGTACTTTGTGTGAAACAGCTAATAGAAAAGTATAGGGAGAATAATAAAAAGTTATATAATGTGTTCATAGATTTAGAGTAGGAGTATGACAGAGTGTTAAGAGAGGTTTAAAGTGGACAGTAATGAGAAAGAATGCCAGAAACCTATATAAATGTAATAGAATATATGTATGAAAGTATTAGTACTAAGGTAGGTAAAAATTATGTATAGAAAAACGAGGGATTCATTGTTTGCTGATAATAGTTTTATTAGAAGAAAAAAGGAAAAAATTGACTACAGACTTGTGATAAGGAGAGCAGCCCTTGAAGGAAAGGGATTAAGGATTAGTAGAGGACAGAGTATATAGAGTATAAGTTTGACAAAAGAGAACATGAGGGTGATGAAACGAGTATGGTAAAGACAATAAACGAAGACTTGATAATTAAGGTGGAAAGTTTTAAATATTGACAATCATTTGTACAAATGAATGGTGATATTTATGAGAATTATACAAATTCATTTTAACTAAAATACTTACTATTTCAGTATTATCAATGAATGAATCATTTTCATCATAACCAGCTGCAAGTTCTGAATAATTATAGAAAGCAGTTTTCTTCTTTTTCTTTTTTTTGACATTAGTAGATCCCTAATAAATGCAAAATGATAATTTATTTAAGTACCAAATCATATCATCTAACCCTGATTTTACTTTATGACTTTTTTCTCAAAATATGTTGAAAGCATATATTTAAAAACAATTTAAGTTTTTAACCATTCACTTTTTTTTTTTTTTTTTTTGATCATTTTACAACTAACTTAAATTATAAGAGTATAACTTAATTAGAACAAATATAACTGTTTCAACAAAATTTACATTGCAAGTTTCATCAAGAAAATATTTATATGAAAAAATGTTTTTATTTTGGCTGTTATACCCAAAATCTTTAATTTAATTAAAACAAAAATGAAATTTGTGAATTTTCATTCTAATCCATAATAATAAATTAATTTGAAAATTTATAAAAACTTACATATTTATGCTCATAATGATCAGCTAATTGTTTTATTGATTCATCATTGTCGTCAAACAAATTTGACTGTTGATCTCTTCGACGTCGTCTTTTCTAAAAATTCAAAATCTAAGTCTTAGTATGAATATAATTTATTTGTGTGTTGTCTAATGGCTCAATATACTGTAATTTTTTTTAATAATAAATTTCATAATGTATTCTAAAATAAGTTATAAAATATCTAGATTCAAATCACTAACAAAAAATTCTAAAAATAAAAAAATGTGCATATTTATTTTTAATCTTATTGATAAGCTTATGGTACCCTAAAAAATGTAAAATATTTGATAAATATGGTGGTCAATAATGGAACATGCTCCTATAACTATACCACTAAAGTAACATGGAAGAAATTTATCAAAATATCTTTTAATAAATAAAGTATAAAATTTTAGGAATTATTGACATCTTAATTGGCCAATACACAGGATTATTTAATATTCTGCCAAGACTTTACAATAAAATATGTATAATTATAGCAAACAATATTTCATTACACAAATTTAATGTAGTTTTACAATCATAATCATAATTATTGATGTCTTAATGTCTAATAACAAAAATCAAATATTAGAATATGAAATCAAAATATTTGATGTTATTGTAAATAATATTATTAAATTTCTGGATGATACCAAAGTTAGATTTAGGAATTAACAACTTAAATATTTAAATTTCAAAAATAAATAATTATGAATAGAAAATATCATGATTATAATTTTTTAAATGATATAAATATTACACTATTGAATATAAAATTACTTATTGTTTGAGATTTTAAATTTCTTAAAAAATATTTAAGAATGTAAGTTTTAACACAAGCCATTTCATTTAACTTTTATAAATGCTGACAATAGGATTTTGTGGAAAACTATTATGCCTGATTTTATTTGTCATGCATAAATTCATTATATTTATTTATTTTTAATAATGTCATATTTCAAAATATGATGTTATTTAGTTTTACTTGTTACCAAGTTTTACATAAAAGTAGTATATCCCAGTAAAATTATTATACCTAAAATTTACGATTTAACTGATTATGATCAAATTAAGTTATTTATTATCAATATATTTTTAATTTTTTTTTTTAATCGCTCCCCTTTTTTAAAATTAAAACTATTCAGATATGACATTATTATAAGGAATGAATAATATAATAAAATATGTACTATAAATTTAAAATAATAACTAAAAAATAAATAAAAATAATAAAAAACATTCTCAACTACATTTAAAAACTAAATTTTGTCATAAAAAAACATTTCTGGGCAGTATATTATAATAGACCTAGAAGAGACATTTGAAAAAAAATAAAATTATATTACTAAAATTAGTCTAATTTAAATTTCATTATTCATAAGTATATATATATTCCAAAAATCTTAGAAATATAACAAATAGTATGATAATTATCCAATTATTACATAATTGGCTATCTAAATAACAAATCAAAACAATTTTTAACAAATTATTGTACATAATTCAACTAAACTCAATAGGAAAATATGATATGATAAACACATAATAGCAGCAAACTTTAGTGTGAGACAAATAAATAAAAATGGCCAAAAAATAATTTAATACATAAATCAGTATCACCCCCTAAATACTCCAATGCAGATTGTAAACAGTAATACTAAACAGTACTCAATGAGATAATGGTATTAATTTAGTACAGAAAAATAAATTATAAAGAAAATCAAATAAATATTCCAAGAATAGTAATTTCTTATGGATATTATTTCTCACCGAATCCCAAATATACCGTAATACTACTAATTGCATCAATATGCTGCATATTACGAAAAACTATGTAGCACGCACTGCACAAATTATGCGTATTGCAACTCTGNGCTGCATATTACGAAAAACTATGTAGCACGCACTGCACAAATTATGCGTATTGCAACTCTGATAGACTATCAGTCGCTTACTTCTTCGACGAGTAGTTTCTGATAGTTGAAAACAGGATATCTGCTTTCAGTAGGTTCAAAGAGGTCTGCATGAATACGAATTGTGGGAGAGTACTGAAGATTAGACTTGGATTCCGATTTCTTTTCAACAGTAACTATATTTGACATTATCACAGGATAGACGGACGCACAATATTAACAACATCGACGATCGGCCAACGTTTAATAGCCAGCACATGTTTCAAGAACGGAAAACACAACCACACATGATCGGCGACAATCACAAACTGATTTTTGAGTTTACATGGGTATTCAGAAGTCGAACGCAAGGCAGTGGTACTTGGTATATACCGCAACCAGTGGGACCAAAAACTGTGTTCTAACAAAATCCCGCGATTTATATATTTAAATCTTAAATTTTATAATATATATATATATATATATGTTTATAC